GGGCAGCAGCCACCACCACCACAGCAGCAACAGCCCCAAGTCTTTGGGCAGCAGCCACCACCACACAGTGGCCAAAGCTCACAGCAGATGGGCCAGCCACCACAGCAGCAACAGCCCCAAGTCTTTGGGCAGCAGCCACCACCACACAGTGGCCAAAGCTCACAGCAGATTGGCCAGCCACCACAGCAGCAACAGCCCCAAGTCTTTGGGCAGCAGCCACCACCACACAGTGGCCAAAGCTCACAGCAGATGGGCCAGCCACCACAGCAGCAACAGCCCCAAGTCTTTGGGCAGCAGCCACCACCACACAGTGGCCAAAGCTCAGAGCAGATTGGCCAGCCACCACAGCAGCAACAGTCCCAAGCCTTGGGGCAGCAGATGCAAAGCACACAGCAGATGATGGGCCAGCCATCACAGCAGCAGGAGACCCAAGTCTTGGGGCAGCAGCCACCACAAGGTGGCCAGAAGACACCAGAGCAGCAACCAGTACAGCAGCCTGAGCAGAGTGCCACAGAAGAGCCAGGCCATGGCCAACAGCAACCACCTGGGCAGACACCACAACAACACATAGAGCAGACAGGGCAGCAGAGGCAGCAACAAGATGGTCAAAGCCCTGTGCCACAGCCACAGCAGCAGCAGCAGCAGCAGCCTGCTGACCAAGCTGTGCCACAACCTATTCAGCAGGTGGGCCAACAAGCACCAAAGCAAAGTGGCCAGCAGCCAGATGCCACACAGAATAACCAGCAACCTGAGCAGGCTGCACAACAGCCACCTGCAGATGGCCAGCAGAACCTGCAGCAGGATGCAAAAAGCAACAGGTGGGCCACCTACAGACTGAGCAGCCACCACAGCAGTCTGCAGCAGGACAGACTGAACAGACTGACTCACAACAGCCACAAGCTTCTGCCTCTCAGATTGGCCAACCACCAGGCCTTGGTGATGGCCCTAAGAAGCCTGGTGATGGCCAAGTGAAGACACATGGTACTGCAGGGGCTGCAGAGGCAGCCAGGGAAGCAGGTCCCATGACAAAAGAATGTAGAACAGAATGGGTTTGCAGCTTAAGGCAAAAACAGTTATATTATAAAGTGCAGCATGGCAGTTGGGGATGGTAAAGGTCTAGGTGGGTTCAGCTTCTGTTAAATAGTATGTTGTCAGAAGTGTGGATATTGAAGCCCTGCTCCATTACATGTTAATGTATTGGCTGTGCTGGGGGAATGTAGCAAAGGTACTATTGCAATATTGGGGGGTGGTTGGTTGGATGGGTGCTTTTATAATAGTGTTTGGTGTTGGAACCTTTGACTCAGGTGAAGCCTTCAGCTCTGATGCACTTCAACTAGCCAAAAAGAGGAGACAAGAAGCTGCAGTGCCTGTGCTGAATCACTGGTCCTGGTGGCAGTGCTGGGCTGCACCATAGTCCACACCATACCTTCACACCAATCATAGTCACCCATGGCAGTGCTTGTATCACCCACACTGATTAAGTAGGCAGGTATGTCATGAGTGTCCTGGTGCCCAGGCAAAAGCCTAAAACAAGAAGTCCAAGGACAATGCAGTGGTGATTGACAGCTGAGCATTTGGGGGGGTCCACATATGACATAGCTGACTGGAATGGCAGAAGGCTGGCTTGCAAAAAATGCACACCATTCCACTCATAAGCCATACTGGCCTATACTTACCCCCAAGGTCTAGTGGTACAGGCTATACATTCAGGCCATCATCACTGTTGTGGGTGCAAGCCTAGCCAGGCCACTATAACCATCAGTGTTTCTGGCAGCCTGGAATGGCAGCAATGTAGCCTAGGGCTATTTAGATCAGGGCAAGGCTTGGGTTTGGTGGGCTGGCAGGGTGTCATTCCCAGAACAAATGTGACATAATAGTAAAGCCCCCAATGGGTCCATTCAATGAAGGTTGCTTTAGCATGGTGTGTTGGTTAGTGAGTGGGTGTTCTAAGTTCTGACTGGTGATTCAGGCCTGGCCCTTGTCACAATACCATTAAATATCTTTTGGGCACCAGGTGTGGCAGAGCAAGGGTCACATGAGTGCAAAAACAAAGGCAGCAGTCACTGGGGTGCAGGGCAGGGTGGGTCTTGAGAAGCTGGGTTTGAGTCTGAAATGTTGCTTAATTTGGTTGGGGTGTGATTAGTTTTGTTTGGGGTAGCTGTGCAGGTTCTAGTTGATGTGATGCTGTTACCAAAAATACAGCATAGTGGAAGCCTGGGGCTGGTACTTCTAGGGAGCTTCTGGCGTGGTGGCATGTGGATGGGGGGCAAAGCTGGTTGTTAGATGCATGTCACCATCAGTGTGTGGCCCAGCTTGGTTTGCACTTGATTTGTACTTGGTGTACACTTGGCTGCTTGGCAAATGGTGGTGGGTGAGTGGGCTGGACAGAACCACCCCCTATACTTACTAGTTTTTTGTTTTGGTTTTTGGGGCCAGCAACTTATTTTGATTTGTATGATGCATGGGTGTGATGTGGCTTTGTTTGGTGCATAGTATGATGCATGGGTGTGCTTGTTTGTCTAGTGGTATGACCTGTGCCCATGTCCAGCCCACAAGTGTGGAGTCATGTGTGGTGCCAAGGACCCCTGAACCTTTAAAGGCAAAAGCTGAAACTTGGGCCACTATGTGCAAGGTGTGATTTCTGGTTGTGGAGGGGTGGTGCATTGAAACAATGCCACACTACTGGCAAATTGCCCAATAGGTTTGGCAACCCTCATGAGCTCAACAAAGGGGTGCCCATATCCATTCACACATTCAGAAATGTAAATGTATATAATGTAACTTTGGTGTATGGAAGGGTTTGTGAACCCATGGATGGACCACAGAAATATGGGGTCATCAGAATTATGGGTATGGGGATGGAGACTTGTGAGAACAGAACCATGGGGAGTTAAAGAATGACCTTCACTGTAAAGGGTTTAATGGGTGTTGGTTTATGTGAGGGAAGGAGGAGAAACAAGACCCACACTACTGACAAATTGCTCAATTGGTTTGGCAACCCTCATAGGTCAACAAAGGGTTACCCATATCTATCCATACATTCAGGGCTGTAAATGTAAATGTAAATATATATATATATAGATGTATTGATGGGTTTGTAAACCAATGGATGGACCACATATATTTGGGGCCATGATCATGAGAACTGTGAATAAAAGGGTGGGTGCATGTGAAAACAGAACCCATGGTGGGTTCAAGAACAGCCTTCACTTTAAAGGCCATTCACCATTGGTGTAAAAGGTGTTGGTTTATGTGAGGGAAGGCACCACTGTCACTGCTGACAAATTGCACAACCCCCATGTTTCAACAAAGGGTTACCAATATCTAGCCACACAATCAGGGGTGTAAATGTATATATAGGTGCATTGATGAGTTTGTGAGCAATGGGTGGGCCACAGAAACATGGGGTCATAAGACTTATGGTTATTAGGATGGGGACTTGTAAGAACAGCTATGGGAGTTAAAGAATGGCCTTCACTGTAAAGGACCCCACCATGTGTTAATGGGGTCAACAAAGGGATGCCCACATCTATCCATACATTCAGGGGTGTAAATGTATATAGGTGTATGGATGGTTTGTGAATCATATGGACCACAGAAATTTGGGATCATCAGAATTCTGGGTATGGGGGTGGAGACTTGTGAGAACAGAACAGAACCTATGAGAGTTAAAGAATGGCTTTCACTGTAAAGGACACCCCACCATGGGTGCTAATGGGCCCAGCAAAGGGATACCCACATCTATGCACACATTCAGGAGTGTAAATGTATACAATATAATTTTGGTGTATGGATGGGTTTGTGAATCAGATGGACCACAGAAATATGGGGTCATCAGAATTCTGGGTATGGGGATGGAGACTTGTGAGAACAGAACCATGGGGAATTAAAGAATGGCCTTCACTGTAAAGGGTTTTGATGGGTGTTGCTGTATGTGAGGGAAGGCCACACTACTGACAAATTGCACAATTGGTGTGGCAACCCTCATGGTTCAACAAAGGGTTACCTATATCTGTCCATACATTTAGGGCTGTATATGTGTATATACATGGAGTACATATATTATATATATATATATATATATGTATGTATAGGTGTATTGATGGAGTTTTGAACCAATGGATGGACCAAAGATATCTGCTCATATATTTGTTTATGTTGTTAATTTAATATTTTTAGATAGATAGATATATATATATATACATTTTTTTGCATTTATACTTATTTATGTGTGTGTTTTTATGGTTTGTTTTTTTTGTGGTTTTGATAATTGCTTATTTCTAGTATGTATATATATATATATATATACATATTTATATATTATACATCTATGGCATGATGTATAGTATGGCTTCAATGCCTGCAGTATTAAAGATGTGGCTATCAATGTGTTGGTTTTATATTTAAAAGGGGCTCATCCAACTGTAAGCTGAGGGGTGTGAAATGTGAAGATACAAATTTGGATGATGTAGGCCATGGAAAAAGAACACCCCAAAAGTGGGAATGCAACCAATGTAAGGAACAGTATGAAAACATGGTAAAACACTGCACCCTGATAGCAAAAAAAAAGTAAATTTAAAATTTGGGCAGCATTCCCCCCTAGAAAGGGCATAAATGGGAATGCAAATGATGGACACCCAGAGTGCAATCCCCAAAATTGGGAAAAATTAGGATAAGTTGGGAAAAATCTAGGATAAGTTGGGATTTTTTAAGGATAAGTTGGGTTTTTTTTAAGGCTAAGATGGGAAAAACTGGGAGGCTAGGGGGATAAGTTGGGAATGAGTGGGAAATGATGGGAATACAGTGGGAAGCACATAGCCAATAAAGGAAAACTATGGGAATCCCAAGAAAAGCCAACCATTTCCCATGGATACCCAATGCAAGACCAATGATATAGGCACCACAGACATGTGTAGGAGTGGCATATCATAAGTGAAACTGGTGGTGTTACACAAAGATTTGAACCTTGAAAGCCATGTGGCCCAGGACCTGTCCCTGTCATGGCTATGGCAAGCTCCAGTGATGGCCAGTCAGTTCAAGACTGGGATGGCAATTGGGAGGGGTGGCAGTGGCAGTGGCAGGCAACTGCCTCTGGTCATTGGACAAAGGTGTGGACCAAGACTAAGGAGGCTGAGAAGGATGTCGCTGATAAAGAGCCAGAGTCAGAGGGAGAGGTAGATATCCCTATGGAGCCAGCAGACACTGATGGCACAGAGTCTGAAACCAGCTCCAAAGACTCAGGGTCAGGGCACCCAGTTTGTTGCAGTCACTGTGTGAGGTGGCACTGTGTAGGCACCACACATGTGATATAGTGTAGCTGTACCAACAAACCCTTGGCCACACCTATTCTTTGTTTGCTCACACATGCTCTTTTTTTTGCAGCCTTGGCCACATGAGGCACCAAGACCTCAGGGACATTGAGGACCTGAACAGCTACCAGTTGTCCAGAGACTTGTTCTGGGAGGCTGAGAAGAGAGTGAGGTACACCAGTGTGGGCCTAACCCCCTATGAGATTCACTGCTTGATGGGAGACCTGCATGAGGAGTATGCACACCATGGTAAGAAGGTGGTGTCATTGTTTGGCAAACCCAAGGGGGCTGGCCAAGCAGTGAAGGCCTTGCTGAACTTGTTTAGGAAGCAACATGATTGGGGCCAAGGGGAGATGGTGAAAGTTGACACAATCCACTTTTCTGTCCTGAAGCACCAGTTGGTG